AATCGATGATAATCATGTACAGAAATGATCCAATCAATAAGTTTACATCGAACTTTAGGTGTAATCAAAACAGTTGAATTACTACCTGATATTGATATACCTTGAACTGGTTTTAAATTATTTGTTGATTCACGAAGACGTTTCATTGAACGTAATTTTTCATTTTCATTCATAAAACGTTCTTCTAAACTAAGTAAATATTTTACAACTTCTTTTTCATATGATGTTGTTGATAGAACATCAAAAAATGGATGTGTCGCTGATTCCGTTCCATTACTCATAGCTAAAAAGAAAAAGAACAAAATTTACTATAATAAATATATAAAACAAACGAAATATTTACGATATAGTTCATCATCATCATTATCACTATGATTTTCATCATTAATTAATTGACTACCATGTTCATCATGTTTTTTCTTTCCATTTTCATCGATTGAAATTTTTGGTGTAAAATATTGTGTTGTTGATGTTTGTTCTGTTTGTATTAATAACGTATCATTATCATTTATTGGATGAACAGATATAAGCATATCATTTAAACGTTCTTGAATATTTTCTAAATCATCTTGTATAATTGTACGTTTCATTGTATCGATTTGTTGTTCATATTTTTTATTATTATTTAGAGAATTTATTGGTAAATTTTCTGTTGGTATAAGAATTGTATTTGTTGTTCGTTTTATATTTTGAGATATAATTGGTAAATGAGTTTGATTATTATTTTTAATATTTAATGCACGTGAAAGCATAGGACGAATTTGTCTTTGAAATTGTTGAAGATTTTGTAATGATTCATGATGACGAAAATTTCCTGTTGATTTTGGATTATCATTTATAGATTCCGTACAAGATGAAGTAAATGATGATGAACGGGATAACATTTTATGTAATAATAATGATTGACGGAAAAAAAAGGAAATCCAAAAAATAAAATAAAATAAAAAAAAAATAAAATTCATTGATCAGTTGAATTAAATTTCGCAGACAAAGACCAACCAATCAATGTTGTGTAAATAGATTTTAGATAGCTTTTCAGATGAAAAATTCAACATAAAATATTATGGAAGATTTTTAAGCTTAGAATTTACACGAGTCATTTCGTTGGATTTTGTATTTTTCAAGATAATAATGTTCACCGGGACGCTAACGACATCTGCTGATTTAATGATAGCATTACGTCTAGGCCTTGTCTATACTAGAAAAATAATTTGACATTAATTTCGAATTAAATCTACATACATCTACACTTATGAATTTAATATTTGAAGTTCATAATTCTAGCATGTATTCATCAAACAAAATGTCGCCTGTCTCTCTAAGATAATAAATGACTGACTAACGGAATTTGTTAACAAAGTATCTACTATTCTAACTTATTTCTTTCAACTACAGATTCGTTCAATATTGTAGTGTTGCTTATGTTATGGTTCAGTCTCTATTCACTTATATTCTATAGTTCATCATATTGAAAATACTTATCTATTGATGGCATAGACTGATTTTATCGAGGCACATCCATCATTTTAATTAGTAGATCAAGTTTTTTCTTGATTGGCGCAGTGCATTAAATTTGAATTAACTTTTCTAGTATAGACAAGGTCATAGGTCTAATCTAAAATGCTTACAATATTGCTGGCAATTTTATAATGCAGTTAACATTTAAGAATCTGTTACATAAATAAATAGTAGAATATCTTGTCTATAACCATATATACATAAGATCTATTTTGAGTTTAATTCAAATATTCTTTCAGAGAAAATCCAATTACAACCAAAAATAAGAATTTTGAAAAATCGATAATAAGTTCGATCGATATTATTTTCAAATTCGGACTATTTTGGAAATTGATGCAATGGCAATTCATGAAGAACTTGCAACAATATTGGAATCTAATATTCCATCATATCGAACAGTTGCCAGAGGGGGCAAAGTGTTTTCATGAAGGAAGAGAAGATATCAATGATGATCCTCGATCTAGTCTTCGAGTTTCCGAGCTGACAGATGTAAATATTGAATTGGTAGGACAGGTTATCGACAATGATCCGCATTCGTCTTATGATAATATTATCGTTGAGACTTCTTTCTCTTATGGTATAATAAAACGAATTATCCATGATTTCCTAGAGATGAGAACAGTAACATCATGTTGGGTACCTCATCAACTCAATGATGAACAAAAGTAAGAACGAGTTAAGATTTATCGTGAAAATTTGACAAAGTTCTGTGACGGATCATGGCGATTATATAATGTTATTAAAGGTAATGAGATATGAATTTATCATAGACAAGTTGGCTGCAAGTCAATTAACGTAAGCTGGCTTAGTGAAGGTGAGTCATCAATGGCTATTATTTACCAAAGTAGATTTTACATCAAAAACTTTGTTTTCTATATTTTTTAAATCAAATGATCCTGTTCTTATACGTAGTGCAGATAAAGGCAGGATCATAGATCACAACTATTATCTTGAAAATTGTCTCAAGCCTGTTGTTAACGAAATATGAAAACAATGGAAGTCATCAGGTACGAAAGGTATAAAATTACTTCATGACAATGCTCGACTTCATAATCATCCAGATGTTATCAATTATTTAACACAAGAAGATATCAATTTAATGACGTATCCACCGTTTTCACCTGGCCTTGTACCATGTGATTTTTGGCTAATTGATTATATCAAACGTAATTTAACTGATCAAACAAATGAAAACTTATTGGCTCGTGGGATTTCTAAGATAATTAAAAATATTGCAGAAGAAGAGTTTAAAAAACCATTTGACAAATTGATAGAAAGGATGGAACTTTATATAAATAATTATGGTAACTATTTTGGATGTTTAATAAAATAAAATTACAAAATATCTTTTTATTTTCGTAGTGTTTTTTAATGTTGTCAGAAATTTTGGTTAACCCCAAGAAGGCAATTGAAAAATCATATTCCTAGGAAAATTATATGAAACAATGGATCTAGAGTATTGAAATTTCAATAAAATAACTAAGATATTTGAATAGTGTTAGACATTTTGCGATTTGAATTCGATTGTATTTTTATTTATGATAAAATTGATTTAATTTTAGTAAACACACAATGAATTAGGACATTTTTTTTATTCTACAAAACATATCTTGGAATTATTTTTATACTGAGTTTTTTATTTGATTATTTTCCAATTTAATCATCATTTTTTTATATGCAAAAATGATTCATATGCCTTCTTTCCTGATATTTTTGTTCGAAGAAGTATAATGTCAAGTTTTTTAGCATTGACTTATCGAAATGAAAATTAAATCGAATTGCGGCGCAGCACTATAGTTGGCTTTACTATTTTAGTGTTCTCAAAAAATTATATGGCATAATAAAATGATCTGTCAGCTTAATAATGAAGCAACCTTCATCGATAGAAACTGAATCAAATCTAAATTTCAAATGATTTTTTTATTTCAACTTTATGACTGTTTTATTTTATGGCTATGATTCTTTTTGTTGGCAATTAGTTGGTATTAGAATGTAATATAATATTTGAAACATAATAATGTAAAGATATAACCGTGCATTGCAAGATTAAGATCAAGGCCATAGGTTGTAACATAATCGAGCTTCAGAAATTATTTCATTCTCTTAATAATTTTTTCATGTTGCTCTTTTTTCTTCGTTTCATTCTTTTAATGCATCAAATTAAAAGCGATAGATCGCTAAAATATTTATGCAATATAATTCTTATTTTGAATTTAAATGAAGAACATAAAATTCAGTTGACAGAAAAATTGTTTTTTTTTTTCATATGAAAATTATATGTCACTTAAAAATATTGAATTCAATTAAATAAAGTACTTCTGATTATACTTAGAAAGAAAAAAATTATTAAAATAATGAATTTCATGTTAGAGTACGGTAGTAAATAAATATTTTCTTTTATAAAAATAATGAAAGAAAATATCTACTATAAAACGTTTTTAATTTTAATTTTTGAATAAACACATATCAAAATTTTATTCTCTAATGCAATGATAATAATAAAATCTCATGACATGAATAGAAGCTTAACTTTTAGTTTGACCTTTACTTTCCGTTGAATTTTCATGCAAAAGACAATGTAAGTGCAAGTGTAAGGCAGACACCTGACTCACTGTTGCTATTGATGCGAAAGGTTATCGAACACTTCGAGCGCCGCCAGCATGGAAAAAAACCGATGGTAAAGTATCCATAATTATTTTCGATCCATATAATCATTTTTTGACATTGCTTTTGTCTAATTGTTTTGTAAACGTCTTCTCTGCCATTCTATTTCTTTCTTTTTCAAATTGATAAACCCTCAAATTTCATAAATTTTATCCATCATCGCTGATACACAAAAAAAGGAAATCTATTTTCTTTACTATCAGTAACCTTCAAATTTAAAACTTCTAAACCGCTCGAGATGCACTTTCAAGCATTATCGTTAAGATCAGTGAACACATTAGGAACATACGGTTATGATCGTTTTTTTTTTCATTATTCAAATGAATTTATGCTCATAGAAACTGATGATGTTAATACACCAGTCATCATCGTCGGTTCTTCATGTGTTTATCGGCTTCACCGTTGCATCCCTAGTAACGGCCAACTCCGCAAGAAGGAACGATGCAGCCGTCATCGTCATCAAAACTCTTCGCAACGATCTACATTGGTCGGGAGAGGATCTGCAAAAAATTTTCTTTTTCTTTTTCTTTTTCTTTTTTTTTTTTAATGTTTCTATTGACTTTAACTTGAAGACATATTTCAAAATGTGATGTAAGTTGAAAGAACAGAATATTTGTCTTCACTTACTCTGTTTTCTTCTCTCGTTAACAACATTTTTTTTTTTACCATGTGACATTTTTTTGTTTTAAACATCTATGAAAAAGGAAAAATCTTATATACAATCGATGTTATTATTATTCTAGACAAGAGATTTTGTCAAGAAAAAAAACTTCGACTAATAAAGTATGATCAATTCACAATTGAATTCGGACGACAACATGGTAAATTTATTTCTTAAACGACTTGGAGAATTTAATATTGATGAAATAACTAATAATACACATGAAAAACTTTCTCAATGGCGTGATAATTGTTATAAAAAAGTCGATGAAATTTATCAACAAAAAATGGAGGAACTCAATGTTTGTATTAATGGAATCAAAAGCAAATATGAAGAAAAAAAAACAAATATACAAACAAATATACATCAACTTAATGATCAAAATAAAACGAATAAAGAAAATACTGATTTAATACAAACAATAATTCAATCTATTGAACAAGATTTAAATGATATTGAACAAATGTCTATTAAAATTAATGTTCGATCATTAACTATAGATGATAGTTATGTTCATATTGAAAAAGAATTTAATTTTAAAAATCTTTCACTGGATTATTTGAAATTTCATTATTCAAATGATAGTTCATCAGCTTTAGCAAGTAATGAACAATTTTTATTAATGCATCAATATCCATATTTATGTTTAATTGATCGAGATTCTAAAATAGTAAAACAAAATGTTTGGTCTGATGGTTGGATTCGTGATATATGTTGGTCAAAAACATTGAACTGTTTTATTATACTAACAAAAAGCGATATTTATTTAGTTAATGAAATTTTGCAATATTCCCATCCATTAAAAGATTTTGTTAAACAAGTTTGGTTTTCTTGTACGTGTTCAGATCAATCTCTTTATCTATCAACATGTGAATGGGGTTCATCAATATTTGAATTTGATCTTTCATCTTCATTGGAATTAATTAATCAATGGAAACCTCCATTAACATGTGAAAAATGTGATGGTATTAATGATATTAAATATAACAATGAAACACTTGCTTTAATGATTAATGATGCAGTAAAACACCAAAAACGTATGGAATTAAAATCAACAAAAACATTTAATACAATTTGGTTACTTCCATTGAGTATTGGAACTGATATTCGTTTATTTACTTGTTGTCCAATTAATTATAATGAATGGCTTGTTATTGATGGGACTAATTCACATCTTTATCATATAACAAAAGATGGAAAATTTAAAAATAACGTTATTTATAATTCAATACCTTATCGAGCAAATCTAGTTTATTCAAATATATTAGCCATATCAACTGAAGATCATTTACATTTACATCGATTTTTAATTTAGTTTTATCTATAATAATTATTAAGATTTAGTTTGCAATGAAATATTTTTATTTGTCATTAACAATTTGTTGAAATAAACAATGCTTAATATTTGAATGAGTCTTGAAATAAATTTTTAGATAAAAGATAGACACCTAAAAAGTTTAATATGACAAAGAAATGCTTTATGTGGTTTTTGTTTGTCTAATCTATACTCAATTCAAGTATATGGGCGTAGTATCGTTGTATTTCTTTTTTACTCATATACAGGAATAAACGAACAAGAAAAGTATCAATCTGTCATCCTAATAAATCGGCTTAATGAAAACGAATAGACAAAATCTTGAATGCTAGTTTAAAATATTATCTGGATCAAAAATTTTAATAGGCTTTTATATTGACATAGTATGTGATGTCTCTTTTTTTTTGTTCTCGAAATGTTAGAGAAATTTATTATCATAACATGCAAGCAGATACTGTTTTATCTGTTAATTTATCTTATTTGGTTTTTATTTACTATAATAATCATTGAAATATCGATTGTGACATGATTCTTTTTTTTTTTCTATCTAACATTTTAATCACAAACAAAAGACAAAACAACATTGCTTTTTTTAAATAAGCACAAATATTCCTTGACGTCAACTAATTAATGTAACTTATAAAAAAGAGAAATAGTTTTTCATTCATATATTTGCAATTTGATTTCTCGTTAATAATAGAGACATATATTTACCTAGTTGTCAGTAATTATTAATGGCCATGTCATACTTTTGAAAATATCACAATCGATATCATTAGTTGAAAAGAAATATTTTTCATATATCAAATGATGGAAAATGAATTTTCGAATTTATATTTTATTCATTATTCAAGTCTTTCATTTAAAAGACGTTTTCATTTTTTTTTTGTTTTTTTTTCTTTAAATATTTTTCGATAACATCGTCTAGCCCAATCGAGGTCGAATAACTTCGTCAAGTAAACTTTTGCTTTTCTGTTCTGTTCGGTCTTTCACTGATTTTTCTTAATGCTATCGTCACTGTAAAGCAGTGTAATATTGTTTGCATTAAATGGAAAAAAAGTGACACTCATACTTAAGATTATAAAAAAAGAAACAATCGTTATAGATTATTCTACTTTCTTCCTTTTTTCTTTTTCCCTTTTTTTTTCTCCTTCTCTTTACTTTGCATAACACAAATCACAAGAAGGCATATGCAGTCTCTATTGATGTCATACATTTTAAGAACAGGTGAGAATAACAACAGCAGTAGCAAAGAATAGACAAAAGAAAAAAAAAAGTCGTTTGCATTTTTTTTTCTACTTCAAAAAAAAAAAATTTCAAGTGAATAAAAAACAGTGAAAGTATAATTAAACACCTAATGATTATAACAAGTCTGGCATTAGTCAAAAAAAAAATAAACGTCTATTAGATAGTAAGATTATAATATCTCGCGCGTTTTTATTCTTTTTCGTAAAATTCATTTTTATGATGTCTTTTATCTTAATTTCCGCTTCTTCTTATTGCTATTTTATTACTATTTATTCTTCTACTATTCTCATATTTGCATAGTCAATTTATTAAACACAATTAAAATTTTGTCAATATCAATTATTATTTAAAACAAAAAAACAAAAAAAGAAAATAACATGGCATCAACAACAGATTCAACTACTAGTATTATATCTCAACTATGCAAAAATAATTGTGGTTTCTTCGGAAATAGTTCTTTCGATGGATTTTGTTCTCAATGTTATACAGAGCAAAAGAAAAAATTGAAAGAAAAAGAACAACAACAGCAAGATATTTCTGTTGAAATGAAAGAAGAAAAAGTTGTCATCGAATCAACAGTATCAATTTCATCGCCTGTCGAAAATCTGTCTTTATCAACTCAATCAAAATCGATAACAAAACCTTATACTTTAAAAAAATCTCGATGTCCTAATTGTAAAAAAATCATGGGTATTCTACAATATCCATGTGTATGTGGTGGACATTTTTGTTCCAATTGTCGTTATTCAAATGAACATCAATGTCCAATTGATTACAAAGCTGTAGGAAAAAAAATATTGGCTAAAACCAATCCTCAAGTGATTGCTGATCGTGTTCATAATCGACAGTAACAATTTTTCTCGTTTCTATTTAATTTATTTTAATGAGTTACATTACGATTCGATCAAGGTATAAAAAATAGAAGAGAAACACCAAAATTTAATGAAAATGAAAAAGAGAAAGAGAGAAGAAAAAAAACAAATAAGTATAGAATTCGAATTATTACTTCATTAATAGTTATAATGAGGACATTTCAAAGGTTTTTTTGTTATTTTCTTAATATAAATCGAAACAAAACAAGTGTCGAATCTAACAGCAAAGAATTGTTTAAAGAACAAAAAAAAAGAGCCTATACTTGCTTATTTAAAAAGCCATATAGAAAACATGAGAAATGTTCGAATAACTGAGCGACGAAAAAAAAAATCGATCCAGGCAATCATCAAACGTCTCTTATCTGTGTCACATAAACAAAACTAGAACAAGAAGAAAAGAGAAAGTATTGTGATTTTATTTGAAGAAAAAAAGACTGTTTTTTTTTTGTTCGTGTTTCACACCTATATCATTGCATGCGTAGTTCGATGTATGGCAGTGTCAAAAAAAACAAAAAAGAGGATGATGGTTTGTTCGTGTCATGCCGTTTAGTAATGGCAAAATTGACGAGCAGCGTGCATCGAGAATGAATAGAATCATTCTTAGTCTATCTTTCATTTTCTTGCGTTTCTTTTTCTTCTTTTATGTTGTTATTACCACCACTGCTCGCGCGTATCTCCGTTCGCTCTCTCTCTCTCTCTCTCGGCTACATATGCCTATCCGTTTGATGCCTTTTTTCGAATCATCATCTTCTTTCTTTTTTTTTCCTTTGGATATTTGTTGAACTGTCTCTAGTCTTGTATTTCATTTTTCTTTTGCCAATATATGACGAGACGATCAACACATCAATATATACCGAAGGAAAGAAATACATAGATTAATCTATCAATCATTAAAAATCGTAAGATGAGTCAAATATAAAAAATCTTCTTTCATCTTCTGTATAACTATCGATCAATTTGTTCAATGATTTCAATTTTTTTTTGTTTTTCGTTCGTTTCTTCAGATCAATCAAAAATGAAATAAAAATGAGTACAACAACAACAACAACAACAACAACAACAACAACTGAACATTCTTCATCAACTAGTAAAACGACACAGACAACCATTCAACAATCAACCGATGATTTACCTAATTTAGTTGATGGTCGTAATAAACCATTAGTAATTATACTTGCTGTGACACTTCCAACATTAGCTGTTATTGGTATTTTAATTCTATTAGTTGTATGTTATCGACGACGAAATGCAACGATTTGGTTAAAAAAAATAGGTAAATAAATCTATTATATATCTTAATTATTTATTTTATTTTATTAATATATCGAATATTTTCATTTAATTAAATAGAACATTCAAGTCAATTACAAGCAATTGTTGTTAATCTTTCAGCAACTTCTATTCAGCCAGAGTATAATTCATATGATTATTTTTTTTTGTATTTATAAATTTAAAATACTTTCTAATAGGTATCTAGAAAAAAAAGCACGTCTTTCTCATCGACAATTTTCACAGCCACATACAGAAACAATTGTCTATAATCGTTTAGTAAGAAATCATAAAAAAAGAACTAATCATTTATCACTTATCGAGATATGAATTTCTAAATATATATCTAGAGTACACCATCTACTCCAGTATTTATCAATCCATTTAATCGTTTACATTCATCAAATGAAGGTAAGTAAAATTAATCGAAGAAAAAGAAAAAAAAAGTGTACAATCGATTATTGTTATTATTAAATTTAATAGGTGAAACTAATGAAGCATTTGATGAATATTTAATTAAAAATGAACAACAGCCTGTATTAAGATCAACATTACAGCAAAGTTCAAACAATGGACAA